CTGTGATCACACTGTGCTGTCTGTGATCAGACTGTACTGTCTGTGATACACTACTGTCTGTGATCACACTGTGCTGTCTGTGATCAGACTGTACTGTCTGTGATACACTGTACTGTCTGTGATCACACTGCTGTTTGTGATCAGACTGTACTGTCTGTGATACACTGTGCTGTCTGTGATCACACTGTATTGTCTGTGATACACTGTACTGTCTGTGATCACACTGTGCTGTCTATTGTCACACTGTGCTGCACCATTGCAGGTGGTGTGTGTGTGGAACGCTATCGAAAACTGACTCATAAGAAGGTGCGAAAACAGAAAGTCTTCAGGAATTATTCCCGTTGTTAAATTTGAGGTTGCTGGCGGCTTCTTTCGGGCTTGTGTTTGAATCTTGAAATCTGGCTGATATGGTTCCTCATTCCCTGTCTCAGTGTCACATCAATACCGTCCGCCAGCTCTGGATGCTTTTTAAGTTGGGTGTCAAAGATTGAGGCTGTGGTTTTTAGATTGTTCACCGCCAACACATTGTCAGTTTGGAGTTGACGGTGACTATTCTTCCCTAAGCCATCTATCCCAAATCCTTCGAGATGGAAGCTGACTGCTTTCTGTTCTCCTTTATCAAATAGTGATGGAATTTATCAATAGGACACACTGATCGTTTCCATTTCAAATTTGTAAAAAGCGTAAATAAAACAGAAGTCTCTCGGCATTAAACTCTCGTCTTGAATTTTGCAGCATTTATAGTAAGGGGATTAAATCTTGGGGAGAATTTGTTTCAAAGTTTGATGAAATGATTGTTCTGAATTCCGCGAGAAAGCTAATGCTCTAATCTGTGAGAGGAAGGATTTCAAGTCAACAAACATTTCTTATTAACACCTCCTAATTACTTTGCAATGAAATGTCAGCAGTATTAGGGCCACCGTTACAAAAATCTATTCCTAAGACTCGCACATTCACAAAGTAAATACTTTACACTTGTTTCACCTGTGCAGCTTTTTTGATGAATTACTTTAAATTCTTTAAAATATAAGTTTAAAAAAAGTAGTTTCTCTGTAAAAAGAAACAGAACATGCTGGAAATGCTCCACATTTCTGATAGTGGACAGTGAACAAGTTTCATCGGTTCTGAGGAGAAATTTCAGTTCTGAAACTTGTCAATTTGTTTCTGTCTTTGCAGGCACTGTCAAACCTGTGGGGTATTCCCAGCATTTTCTATTTCTATTTCAGCCTCTGGCAGCTGCAGTATTTTTTTAAGATAAAAACTTGTCTCTGCAGTTTCGAGTCTCAGATTCTGACCAATTAAAGACCGAGAGGATCCAAAGTGTACAATCCAAAACCCAAGAAACGGCGCCAATGATAACGGTTTTGGCCCAGTTCAGCCAACAGGAAGCTGCTTGTTGCTGAAGGATTGGTTGTGGTTCTGTGATAGCACTGTGGCAAAGCCCTGGCTGCCCAGACTGCACGGTACTGACCTGGGAAGTAGGAATCTGCCATCGGGAACAGTCTGAAAGTGTTCCCGGCTCTGAGTCAGAGATTTCAGAGGGTTCTCGTCACATTAGCTTGTCAGATAGCCAGGAAAAGTTTTTTTTTAACAGAAGTAAAACCTGCTTTAACTCCAGGCTATTGAATTGCCCTCCCTGACTCACCACTGACCACTCCAAAAACTCTCCTCTGGACCTTATCCCCTCCATCATCCCCCAAAGGATACATACCTCTTGCAGCCAGCCTCACCCGCTTCCCTGAAATCCCTTACCAAATTGGTCTCCCAAACTCTCTGCTCATCATGCTGCCCTTTTTCTGTGTACGACAGGAACCTGTGATAGAGCCATGTGGGAGTGGTCAGACTTGGAAAGGTAAGTAGGCATTTTTTGATGCGGCCACTGTTGGACAGAACTGTTCTCACAGCAGTCAGATCGGAAATAACTGGGCACAGTGCCTCTCTGTGAATAATCGTTTATGGCAAAATTGAGTTTCACCCGTTCTGAGGAGGGGTCACCTGATCTGAAATGTTAAGTCTGATTTTCCTTCACAGGTGCTGGCAGAACTGCTGAGCTTTTCCAGCAACTTCTGTTTGTGTTGAGCTTCACTATGATGTCTAGACCCACCAATGAATAGCGGCCCTTTGTGAAGTAAAGGGTACCAATGCTTGCTGCTTTACTGTTCTACAACAAGGCAAGATACAGTATCAAGAGGGTTCAGATGGGATGGAGGTAGGAATGTGGTTAGGGGATTGTAGATGGTTTGGAGGGTGTGGAGATGTGAGTGAGGAACAAAGGGAAGTAATCAGTAATGAAGTTCAGGCTGTAGGGTTAGCCAAGAAACATCATCTCTGTGGTTTTCCTCTGGATTGATAACACATGCTCCTTTTGGTTAAAGGACTAATTTCTATCTGTTTGATTGCTGAGAAATTATAATGAAGTGGAACTTCTCTCTCATAACTTCCTCACGCTAAAATCAGTTTGTTTGTTCCTGTAACTTGCTACTTACTATGAATATTTGGCATTACATAGATCACCACTTCCTCAAATTTTTTAAATGAATTAAGTGAAATTATTAAGTCAGCCATTTTTCTTTTGAATTACCTGTTCTTTTGAACTTTCTTGCATATAGAAAGTCTTTGTGCAATTTGTATAAATTAATTGTATAACCAACACAAAGTTGCAAAAGTGCCTGTGTTTTTGCAGAATGGAACAAGACTGATTAGATCATTGCAATGTTGGATTTGAATCTGTTAAACAAATGTCATTTTAGGGAACATGACTGGACTTGTTTATCAGAATCTGGCCGTTGTCGGGTTTTTGAATCCAGTTAGACCAAATAACTATTGACATGTGAAATATAATCAGGAAAAAAACACCAAAAATCTACACAAGGCACAAAGTTGTTGCAGTAATGTAATGATTACACAGGCAGGAGTGAGCCATTCTGCCCCTTGAATCTGATGGAACTAATAATTGAAAAACCAAAAGAACTGCAGATGCTGGAAACCAGAAACAAAAACAGAAATTGCTGGAAAAAGACAGCAGGTTTGACTGCATCTGTGGAGATAAATCAGAGTTAATATTTCAGGTCCAGTGATGACTCTTCAGAACTGATGGTAGCTAGGAAAAAGTTGGTTTTACACAGAAGATAAGAGTGATGGAGGGGGTAAAGAATAAACAATAGGAGGTGATAGACCCAAAGAGAGAGAAGGACAGTTGGACAGTCAAAGGATTGGATAATGGACAGCCTAGGAGAGTGAATAGCTGCTGATGGAAATTTTCATGTCAAATACAGAAACAAAACTGACCTAGTGGTCAGGC